CAACCTTTTATGGCTGCAATTTGGGTTTCAGTATTCCTGTTTAAGGATTTTTGGGGTTTGTCTAAAAGTGCTGCTATATTTAGCACATTTTCAGACCCAGCCCAAAAGTGACAAATGCAGAGATTTGCGTTTTTTTGTTTTTTTATGTGAGACTTTGGTGACACCATAGAGAGCAGATATTGCTCTGAGTTGTCGACCACAACCCTATTGAACTGATAACCTTGATCTACTAATATCTTAGTTAACAGTTTAACTTCAACAGTCAAAGGCAGCTTTAAACAAATGGGTTTTGAACTTTTACTTAAAATAATTCAGACTTTCTGCACATTTACAGTCTTCTGGAAGTTTGTTCCAGATAAGTGGAGCATAGAACCTAAATGCTGCTTCTCCATGTTTGGTTCTAGTTCTGTGTGAACAGAGTAGGCTTGAACTAGAAGACCTTAGTGGTCTGGGAGGTTGATACAATGACAACAAACATGTTATTGGGGTGCTGATCCATTCAGTGATTTATAAACTCAAGGAAAGATATTGAAGTCTGTTCTCTGAGCTACAGGGAGCCAGTGGAAGGACTTCAGAGCTGGGCTGATGTGTTCTACTTTCTTGGTTCTAGTGAGAACACAGGCAGCAGAGTTTTGGATCAGTTGTAGCTGTATGATGAACTTTTCAGGCAAAACTTAGACTAACTTTATTGTCATTTTGTATGCACAGAGTGTACAGCTTTCATGACACTTGCATTTCTTGAAGTGCAGCAGTAATATCAAACATTGTGGGAGCAAAAAAAAAACAACACATTGATATGGTCAGTTTTATGCAGTGTCTGTGAAATGATTTAGAGATTTTACAACATTCAGTTGTCTAATGGCAGTGGGAAAAAAGCTGTTCTGGAATCTGCTGGACCTGCATCAAATGCTGCAAAGCCTCTTTCTAGAGGGCAGCAGGGAGAACAGTCCACGGTGAGGGTGTGAGGGGTCATTGATGATGCTACAGGCTCAGGACACACAGAGCTGGGATGAAATGTCTTTTATGGAGGGAATAGGAGCCCCAATGATCCTCTCTGCTGTTCTCACCACTCTCCTCACCTTCTTCCAGTCTGAGGCGCTGCAGCCTCTACATCACACAGTGAGACAACTGGTCAGAACCCTCTCTATGGTGCTTCTGTAGCAGGTGGTGAGGATGGGTGGGGGCAGGTGGGCTCTCCTCATCCTCCGCAGGAAGTAAAAGCGCTTTTGTGCCCTTTTGACCAGTGAGGTGGTGTTTACAGTCCAGGTGAGGTTGTCTTTTATTTGCAACCCCAGGAATTTGGTGCTGTTGACCACCTCTACAGCTGAGCTGTTGATGACTGGTGGAGCATGGTTAGGCCGGTTCTTCCTGAAGTCCAAGATGATCTCCTTCATCTTCTCCATGTTCAGGATCAGGCTGTTATCTTTGTACCAGTCCACCAGCTGCTCCACTTCCTCTCTGTAGTTCTGGTCGTTGTCGTCTATGAAGAGTTCCACCACTGGCGTGTTATCTGCAAACTTCACGATGTGTTTGGTGGTGAACCTGAGGACGCAGCATGGTCATTAGGGTGAACAGCAGAGGGCTCAGGACGCAGCCCTGAGTGGAGCCTGTGCTGAGGTTGATGACATCAGAGGTTTTCTGTCCGACCCAGACTGACTGAGGTCTGTTTTTGAGAAAGTCTAGCAGCAAATAGCAGAAGGGTGTATTGAAGCCCAGCCTTTTCAGTTTTCCTATCAGATGCTGTAGGATGATTTTGTTGAAAGATAAACTGAAGTCCAGGAACAGCATCCGCACATGGGTGTTCTTCTCCTCCAGGTGTGCCAGGCTCAGGTGAAGAGCAAAGGAGATGGCGTCTTCAGAGGAGTGTTTTTTTTGGTAGGCGAACTGAGACGGGTTGAATGTTGGGGGAGACTGGAGAAAATGTCTTTTACCAGCCTTTTGAAGCGCTTCATCAAGATTGGAGTCAGTGCGACAGGCCAGTAGTTATTGAGTGAGATTACCTGAGGCTTTTTTGGGACCGGAATGATGGTGTTAGACTTGAAGCATGCTGGAACAATGGATTGGTCCAGTGAGGTGTTAAAAATGTCTGTGAGGACACCAGTCAGCTGATCTGTACACTATTTGTACACCCGCGCAGGTGTGTTATTAGGGCCTGGGGCCTTTAATGGGTTGACTCTCCTCAGAGTTTTCCTTGCTTCAGGTATGTCACGGTTGAGGGCCTGCTCTCCCTGAAGTTGAACGGGTTTTGCTGCTGGAGTGCTGTTTAGTGCCTCAAACCTTTCAAATAAGTTGTTTGGTTCATTAAGGAAGTCAGCATTGGCTGCGTGTAACATGGGGGAGGGTGTGTTGTAGTCTGTGAGCGTCTGTATGCCTTGCCACATCCTGCTTGTGTTGCTGACGTCGTTGAAAAGATCCTATAAAGAGACTGTTGCTGTGATCAATTCTACTAAAGATAAATGCATGAATGAGTTTTTCTAGATTCTGCTTGAAAATTAGCCCTTTAATCCTGGAGATGTTCTTAGGTTGATAAAAGACTTAGTAACTGCCTTCATGTACCTCTGAAAGTTCAGGTCTGAGTCCATCATTGCATGCATGATATCTGCCAGACCACAAACCACAGGGATTCAATTCAGGCCTAATGGGGGGATGGTGCACCTACAGCCTGTGTCTGCAGTCACAGAGCAGAGCAACTCTCCTCTGTTTCCTAACTGAACATAAGTGATACATGCACAAAGCTTCCATGGATTCCCTTGAATATAAAATCAGAATGTAAATATAATATTGAGTGTATTTTCTTTCTTTAAATAATTTGCTTTTGAAAAAGTACAGTGCATGGATAACTATTAAGAGAAATGGAAACCTACACTGAAAAAAATAATGCAGCCGTTTATGTTAGCAGGGTAGGACATAAAACAATTGTGTTAGAGTAACTTAATATGATTAAGTAAATGCCAAAAATGGTTGCATTATTTTTTTCAGTGTAACATTATTCGTCATTCTTTATGAAACAGAGGATGGACCCAAATACAACCAAGATAGGTCAGTGACATGTTTGGTTAGCAGAGCTGAGTTTGAGAGAAGCAGGCAGGCTGCAGGGGATAGGCAGGCAGATTTTGAAGCTTTACCAGTTCGTGATCCAGGGGGAGGAAGGCCGGCAGTTTTGCTGGGCTTTCTCCGGGTTTGTGATCCAGAGAGGAACGCAGGCAGTCTGGGTCAGACAGATACAGAAATCCAGGGGTTCAGAGGAGGAACAGAGAGGATATCCAGACTGGCGGACAGAGTCAGAATGGGATCAGGCAGGCTCGATATCAGGAGACAGAATGAATCAGTTAACAGGCAGGCAGACAGATAACTTTGATGATGCTGGATTAATCTTGCCAGGTTGGTATGAGAAAATCTGACACTGAAGACTGGTCTGATGGGGATTATATAGTGATGGAAACAGGTGAAGCCTATTGTGGAACGGGTGGAGCAGAGCAGATGTATGGCCTGAGTGATCAGCCCTGCATCGGTGCCGAGATCATAACACATTCAGTTGGAAAACATGCCTCAGCTGGTTGTAAACAAGTGACTTATCCCATACAAGGAAACTATTGCCACTGAGAAGAAGGTTGTTAATCATCTCAGGTACCTAATATGTCAGAGTAATTGAGATGTTGGTAAAATACATTTTAATGTAATAACTTAATTGCATTTCTTTAAAATGTGTAAAAAGAAAAAGGTGCTCTATGTGTGCTGCCCTTCTAAAACACTTGCCTATGTAACTAGAGTGGGTTGTATCTGTCATTGAATGAGTCATGTGACCCTGGGTGATGCTTTAAAGTAGTCTGAGCTCCACTTAAACACCAGAGCGAATAAACTAAAAGGGTTTGAAAGGCAACAAAACAGATACTGTATGACCATAGGGGGTCAGGGGCCAATAAGGGCCAATGCCCCTTCAGAACTGGCCCTGGCCTGTGTCTTTATAACATGATTTTAAATAAATTTATGATAAATTACTGATGATATGTGCTCACACAGAAATCAGCAATGGTTGTAAAAATGTTGTTATCTGTCAATTATGTTTTGAAGATGATGTAAAAATTAAGTTGTTGCATTTTTAGCTTGAAGCATATTGAGATATAATCACAGGTTTCATCTGCCTTCTATGAGGTTTACAGAGCAG